TGTATAAACAAGAGACTTGTCCTGTATTCTAGTGCTTAGCACAGTGCCTCACATACTCAACAATAAGTAATTTAAAATAGATGAACGCATATATATGAAAACAGAGAGTAACAATAAATATACCAAAATATGGGGAAGGGGCTGAGGGAAAGTGAAGGAGAATCTGAGAACTAGAAGATCCTGAATATTCCATATTTTTAAGGATGCCTGTATCCTTTTAAGGAGCTCTGGTGGCATAGTGGGTAAGGCATTTGGCTGCTAACCAGAAGGCCAGCAGTTCCAACCCACCAGCTGCTCCACGGGAAGATGATGAGGCAATCTACTTGCATAAAGGTTTACAATCTTAGAAACCCAATGAAGGTTGCTATGAGTTGGAATCGACTCTATGGCAGTGGGTTTGGTGGCACAGTGATTAAAGCATTCAGCTTCTAACCAAAAGGTCAGCAGTTCGAACCCACCAGTCATTCCTCAGAAGAAAAATGAGGCAGTATGCTTCTGTAAAGATTTAGGGCACCGGAAACCCTATGAGGCTGCTCTACTCAGTCCTGTAGGGTTGCCGTAAGTCAGAATTGACTCAATGGCAATGGGTTTGGTTTCCTTCCTTCTTCTTTTTTTTTTTTCCCCATATCCTTTTGATTTTTGTTATTGTTAGTTGCTCTTTAGTCTACCTCCAGTTCATGGTGACTCCAAGCACCACAAAACCAAATCCTGCCATCCTGTGCCATCCCCATTAATGGCTACAGATCAAACCATTGTTGTTTCATAGGAGTTTTGGATGTTGATCACCAGGCTTTTCTTCCTAGTTCATGTTAGTCTAGATTTTGTTATGTGCTGTCGAGTTGGACCCAACTCATATCGACCCCTCCTTGGGTTTCCGAGGCAGTATCACTACTGCCCAACTTTGGGAAGTAAATTGCCCAACTTTCCTTCCGTGTTAGTCTAGAAGCACCACTTAACCTGTTCAGTATCATAGCAACACACAAGCCTCCACTGATGGTTTGACCAGGAATTGAACCAGGATCTCCTGCATAGAAAGTGAGAATTCTACCATTGAGCCACCAGTGCCTCCATCCTTTGTAGCACTTGCATTATGATTGTTCCTCTTAGGCTCATCAGAGAGAAAGACTTTCTTCACTGAGCTGGCAGCAGCCTCCCGTGGCTGCCCTGCTCCCTGACTCTGAGGGGCTCCTCTTTGCACTGAGTCTTTGGGCAGGTAATGCTGGAGCCAAGGATGAATGCTCTTGGTTCAGAACCTCCTCATCCTTCCCTGGGCCAGACTCTACCTTTCAGGTCCCCATTTCCTGGTCTCCTGCCTGCAACCCACCTCTAGTCCAGCCTGCACTCAACACTGCTAGATTCACATTCCTACAGCTGTAGCTTCCACACCTCAGGGCCTTCTCTCTGCCTCTGCTGGCCCTGTCTGTCCACATGCCTGCCCCTCCTAGTCTGGCTACACCAGCCTATCCACACCCAGGATTTATCCTGGCTCCAGCCTGATGAGTTTGATGACCACCTGCAAGTACTCCTTTGGAGCAGCACAGTACCCCTGCCTGACATCCTCAGCACTCGCAACTTTTCATCCCCCTTCTCCAGCTCCTGCCAAGCCCTTTCTCTAATCTGGAGCTCTTCAGGCTCAGGGAGGCTTGTGTCTTCACTGGACAGAGGACTTAACAAGAATAGGGCCCTGGCTCTGGCTCAGGCCTGCCCCTGGGCATGCTCCATGGGTGCCCCTGATACATGGCATGGTCTATGGCTGTGGCCTCAAAGGGCACAGAAGACAAATTGTCAGACTAATACCAGGCTGGTGTCAACTCAGGCCCAGAGAATTCTCACTTGGCCCCAGCCTGGCTCCTTCCCTCCAGACACTGCCCGTTCCACTTGGAACGTTTGTTTGCTGCAGCCTTGCAAACAGGTGGCACAAAAGGGAATTCATATGGGTCAGACCAGGATGCAAACCCTCCTCCAGCTCTCAGCTCTTCCCTCTGCCTTCCATCTCTGCAGCACTGCAGGTGGGAGTTGAAGAGAAGGCCCTACCCATCAGGCTATTGGAGAAACGCAGGTCCATTCTCCCCCAGGAATAGTTTTCATGGCTACAAGTCCAGGGCAGATGGGCAAGCTTAAGATGGAGCCCTTTGTTGCTGGGGATGGCCTGGAGGGCAGGGAAATGGGGACAGACATGTAAATTCTCTGACTTTAGAACAATGATTAGCAAAGGATTCAAGATCTTACTTTACAACTCCTCTGCAATGCAAATAGATCAGGTATTACCATTCCCCCTACTTGACAGATTCACCATCTGTATATCAGTTTGTTGTACTATGGTGGCTTGTGTACTGCTGTGATGCTGGAAGCTATGCCACCAGTATTTTAAATACCCAGGATGGACAGTGGAGCGTCCAGACTAAGAGACTAGGAAGGAATACCTGATGATCTGGCATTTCTTCCAAAAATCAGCCCGAGAGAATCCTGTGGATCATAGAGCACTGCCCAACTCACTTGCTTTGGACACACCATCAGAAGGGATTGATCTTTAGAGAAAGATACCATGTTTGGTGAAATAGAGGGCCAAGGAGCTTGAGGGAGACCCTTGGTGAGTTGGACTGGCCCAACGGGCACAATGAAGGATTTAAAAGGGCCGGCAGTTGTGAGGATGACACAGAATCAGGCAGCGTTTTGTTCTGTTGTATGAAAGGTCACCGTGAGTCGGAATCAACTAAACGGCAGCTAACAACAGCACCAATTCCTGACAGATAGGAAAACAGGCTCATAGAAGGTAACTGACTTGCCCAGGGTCATTAGGCAGTCAAGAACAGAACTGGACTGGAACCCAAGGCTTCCGAGCTGCTCCTAAGGGAGTTCCAGGACGTTGCCATGAGGGTTCTTTTGCTATGACAGCTAACCTTTGTGCTTTTGAAAGCATTTTCATACACCTAGCAGATATAACTTGCCCAACTTCTCTGCAAGATCAAAGAGAGTCTGCCATGTTTTGATTTGCACAGAGGATGACATTGAAGCTCAGAGAGGCTAACCAACTTGCCCAAAGTCACTCAACAAAAAGTAGTGAAACTGAAAATCTGTTCCTGGGTTTTTAGCCCTTTTCTTCCTCTCATGGGCCCCTCACCTATTAACCCTTCCATGAGGGGGTTCTTCCTTGCACCAGGCTGAGGCTCTACCCCAACCCTGGCAGCTTCCCTCTGGTGGTACCCAAAACAGGCCCAGATCTCTGTGAGTCTAGGGACTACCCTCCCACAAGCTGTCTTGTGGGTGGCCAGGCCCCCCTCTGTCACCCCTTATCACCATGGGCTTGAGAGGTGGGCTTAAAAAAAAACACTGGGGTGCTCCTACTCCCACCTTGTCTGCTACCGGGGGTCTTGCATCACTAGTAGCACACCCTGGTTCTTAGTTTCATGGACAGAGCTTTTGAGAAAGGCCTGTGAGCATCAAGGGGCAGAGGTACCTGTGATCCCTGCTCCCTGAGCCCTTGGTCCCCAGGAGGGAAGGGAGGTGGCAGGATAACTGAGACCCAGAGTAGATCCAGAATCACCCCTGGCTGGCCAGCTTGCCTTCAGGGGCTTCTTGACCCTCAGTGGGATCAACCTCTGTGCATCCGTCCAAGGAGAGGAGTGGGCCTCATGCTCTCAATGCCTTGCAGGTGAGGAGACCCTGCTTCTTAGAGATCAGTGTCCATTTCTGGCTTAGTGGGTATCTCAGGAGACCCGGGCAGGACTTGGAGCCCTAGTCCTTGAAGGGCTGGCCCACTGTACCACCCTTGAGGCACATTAGCACTGACTCCTTCCCTGGGCCATTCTTCCTGCCTCATGAACCCCTATAAGAGCAGTGGGTGTACACTCCCCAGCTCAAAAGCTGGCAATCTCTCCCCAGTGCCACAGAGGGTTCAGACCATGGCATGTAGCCCACCCCTTCCAGACCCTGCATTCTAGCCACCCAGACCCTCCAGTCCCTGAATTTCCTGTTTTCCTTCAAATCTTCTTACCATTGCCTATGCTTCCCCCCCTGCCTGCACTGCTCTCTCTTTCCTCGCTGGCTGTCCATGCCCCCTGATCATCCAAGGCCCATCTCAAATGCCCCCAGTTAATTCTCTCTTCCTTTCCCCTGGGTCCGTGTCCCTCTTTGGCATGGATCATAGATGTCTGGCTTCCAGAGGTATTTGCATTTGCTCTCTCCCTGCTTTCAGGCTTGGGAGTCCCTAGGGCCAGGACTGGGAGTCCACATCTTCTCGAGAGCCGCAACTCTTTGGGTGGACAGCATGTGGGCCGGAATGGTCATTGATGAATGCCTGACAAATTGAATCAACTTTTTCTGAATCATAGGAGAGTCCCTGGGTGGTGCAAACAGTTAATGCACTTGGTTGAACACTCAAAGCTTGGAGATTCAAGTCTACCCAGCAATGCCTTGGAAGAAAGATCTGGCAATCTACTTGCAAACAAACTGAAAACCCTATAGAGCACGATTCTGTTTGACACTCATGGGGTTGCCATGAGTCTGAACCAACTCAATGGCACTTGGTTTCTGAATCATAAGTTAGCAGAAGACTCACAGAGGAGGGGCTTCAGGAAACCTTCCACCTTGCTCTCATGCTCACACAGGGAAGCTGAAGCCCAGAGAGGGAAGGGACTTGCCAATGTCACTCAGCAACCTGGCGCTGGGAATTCTGGCTCCCCATCCTTGTCTGTCATTGACCCCTCCACCAAAGTTCCCATGAGGAGACAGGGAAAACTCTTGTTGACTGCAATATCCTTACTCCATCCAATTGCAGGTCCCAACTCATGCCCCTGAGATGGGACTGTTTCTTGAGGTGAGATCTTCAACCTAGTCCAGTACTCCTTCCACCATAGAGATCATCTGGACCCTTCCCTTTATGACCCAGATGAAGAAACTGAGGCCCAGAGAGGAAGCACCTTGTCCAGTCCATACAGCAGAGTCCAGGCCAGAACCTGGCTCATGGGCTCAGTGTACACAAGACTTGACCACCAGCTTACCTGGTCCCTGAATTTTCTTGGGTGGTCCTCAAGCTCATGTCTTGTCTGCTCTCCTGCAAGGCCTCTCTGCTGTCCAGCGTGCTGGGGTCCCTGGTGGGGGGCAGCTGCGTCCAACTCCAAAACTGTGTGGTATCTGCCATGGGCATCCGCTGGAGAGCTTGGTCTCTCGCCCAGTGGTAAGAGGTTGGCCTTGAGCGAGCAGTGAGGGCGGGCATGGGGCAGGGAGGGGCGTATGAGGGGGGCGGTGACTGGAATGGCCCAAAGAAGCCCATTTCCTCTCTATATTTAGCAGCTCAAAACGCTCCTCAGTGGTGAAGTTGCTCAGCATTAAAACTTTCCTTTTCTTCCTGGTTTTGTTTCACTCAAAGATGAGGAGAATTTCAATGAAGCTAGTGTTCTTTTTGATGCAAATCTGCTCCTCTTCTCCCAGGAACTCTGGCTAATGGGCTAGGGCTTCTGGCCCCCAGAACACTTCCCCACTGGCTTTAAAAGGGTACATTGGAGCTGACGGGGCTCTCAGCACAAATCTGGACCCTGCTCCTGAGGTGGCTGCTAACCTGACTGCCCACACAGCAACCTTGCTTCAGTAGCAGTTGGACACAGCCCCTGGCAGGGATGTCACCTGTTCAGCTCACCTCCCCCAGGCCCTGCACTGGAAGCTAGAGCCCAAAGAGAAGGTGTCCATGGCTCCTGCCCTCAGGAATCCTCATCTGGGGTAAGGAAAGAGATTGTTTTCAAGACTGATGGCTATTATCTAGATGGTAGAAACATTCACGTATAGAGAACCTAGGACCCTGGAGGTTCCCCAGGTGGTGCAAAAAGTTAATAGTTCAACTATTCAGAGGCGCCTTGGAAGGAAGGCCTGGTGATCTGCTTCTGAAAGGTCACAGCCTAGAAAACCCTATGGAGCACCCATCTCTAAAACACGTGGGGTGCCCGTAAGTTGGAATTGACTCAATGGCACTGGGTTTGGTTTTTTGGTTTGGGGCACAATTACAAGTTACCTGTGACACAATATAAGCACAAATCTGAAAGAAAGGCATTAATGGTGGGATTTGAGGCATCCATAATGGGGGAGATTCATGTAGGGCAGGAAAAATAGGGGCTTTTTCTTAGTACCAAAAATCTCTTCTCTGAGACTAATTCTGTACAGGAGGGTTTGGTGGAGGTTCCTATGAGACATCCCCCAAAGGGGGCAGTGGGTCCAACTGGGCCATAGGTCATGCTGTCCTAGCTGTGGTGAAGGCAGGTGTCTGAGAAAGGGCTGGGCTGCGTCCAAGCAAATTCAGGACATGGTCTTAGGTCCCTGGAGACTGCCTTCCTAGTATGCTGAAGGTGCATTTGGGCAGGAGGCCTGGGTCTTCCCCTGACCCTTCCTCCTCTGTGACTTTGGATAGATCTTTGCCCCTCTCTGATCCTCAGTTTAACTGTTTGGATCATGAGACTGTTAGCCTGGAGGCCAGCCAAGGTGGCCACCAGTTCCAACTGGACATGAGACCAGAATGGGGAGAGCTGTGCCCATGGGCCGATTGGCTGTGCCGAGTGGGACGTCACTGCGAGTGATGAACTGGTGCGCCCTCACCCCAGGAGAAGCTGAATCAGAAAATAAAGATGTTGAATTCTTGAATTTTCAACTTCAAAAGCCTTGGAAAGGTTTGGAAAGATGTAAGGCAGAACAAATTCTCCATCCTGCACCCCTGCCCTGTTGTCTCCATCCATCAGATTATTATGGATCCTGGGAGCTGGAAAGGGGAAGACAGTTCAAAGGGAAGCCAGGAGGGACTTAGAGGATAGGCTTGAAGAAGACTTCCCTAGGGTCAGATTTAGATCAGTATGGAGATCTGAGGTAGGAACCCCAGTTTAACTCTCAGTGGGCTTCAGAAAGTGGCAAGAGCCTCAAGTGTCCAGCATGGGTCAGCCTGATATGACCACAGAGGAGAGATGGTTCCAGAGATCCAGCGGTATGAAGGCCTGTGAGCCCCGTCTCCTCCACAGAAGCCAGCAGATCAGCTATCGACTTCCTGAGCCCTTACAGCAAGCAGTGAACATGGGTGGGGTGTTTCATGGTCCATATAAAGAGAAGGTAGAGTTGGAGGACTGGCAACAGAGGCTGATGGGAACAACCATCTCAGCAGTTACCTCAGGTAGAGGATTGAACTCACCTGAGGACCAAGACAAAAGTGCATCTCAACAGAAGACTGGTGCTGGATAGATGCTAAAGAGGACAGGTAGTGGTGAAGTGTGACACAGCTGAGCTTTTATAAAATGGTTAAATGATTTAATTTTGAATGGTTAAATATAAACCTGTGCTGGTTATTCTCCATGTACCCTCACATTCCCTCTCTACCGTTCTGCACCAGGCTTTGTGCCCTAAAGCCAACCAGTGTGAGCATCACCCTGATTCTTGGTCCTCTGGGCTCTGGTTGAGTTAGGCCAATGTGGGTCACTGGCTGGAAAACAGAAGGTGGACAAAAAGAGAGTTGGGATTTTCACTCCTCTCCCTCCCTCCCTGCTGGCTACATTTTGGCAGCAGCTGCATCCTTCTTACAGACACAGCTTCACAGGTTTTGACATGGGGTAAGATGTGTCCTCCTTCAGGAGATGGCGTTATGTAGCTCCTGCTGTTGCTTTGCCTTCTCTGTGGCTCTCTTAACCCTGTCCTCACCTCCCTAACAGTCCTTTCATTAAACTCTTCAATTACCCTTTGACTGATGCAGGCTTTTGTTTGTTAGCTGCTGTCAAGATGGCCTTTGACTCATGGTGACTCCATGCACAACAGAACAAAACACTGCCTAGTCCTGCACCTTCCTATAGCTGGTTGCAGATTGGACCATTGTGATTTTGGGAAGTAGATCACCAGACCTTTCTTTCTCTTCTCTTTTAGTCTTGAAGCTCTGCTGAAACCTGTTTGGCATCATAGCAAAACATAAGCCTCTACCAACAGACGGCTGGTGGCTGTGCATGAGGTGCACTGACCGGGAATGGAACCTGGGGTTCCTGCTTTGGAGGTAAGAATTCTACCCCGGAACCACAATGTCCCAGTGACTGCTGTAACAGAATATAAAAAGTACAAAAGGCTTCACAGTGAAAAGTGAATTTTCCTCCCACTCTTCTTACCCTTCACTCCCCCATTTTCTCTCCCCAGAGGCACCACTATTAAAAGTTTCTTTTGCATTTTTCTAGAGATATTTCGGACACATGCAAACAATAACACATGGCATTCACAATTCTGTACCTTGTTTCTTATACTTGGCCATGTCCGTTGGAGAACTTCTATACTGTTTCATTAAGCTTCCTGGTTCTTTTGGTCTGCACTGCATTGCACTGAAGGACTAGTCTGTGATGCATTTAATCAGCCCTGTCCCTAAGTAAGGGAGTTTGGTTGCATAGTGGTTAAAGCATTGGGCTGCTAACCGAAAGATCAGTGGTTCAAACCTACCAGCTGCTCCACAGGAGAAAGCTGAGTGTGCTTCCGTAAAGATTTACAGCCTTGGAAACCCCTAAGGCAATTCAACTCTGTTCTGAAGGGTCTCTATGACTTGAATTGACTAAATGGCAGTGGGTTGTGGGTGGTCCCTGAGCAGTGCAAATGGTTAACATCCTTGTCTGCTAATCAAAAGGTTGGTGGTTTGAGTCCACACAAAGACATCGCAAAAGAAATTCTGGTAGTTTGCTTCCAAAAACTCAGCCTGTGGAGTACAGTTCTACTAAGCCACACATGGGGTCACTGTGAGTCAGAAGTGACTCGATGGCAACTGAGTTTATTTATTTTTTGGTGCTGATGACCACTTCAGTTTTCAGTCTTTTGTAGTTACAAACAAGGCTTATCCTTGCATCGTTTGCTCCTGAGCTAGTCTAGCTGTAGGATAAATTCCTACAATTGGAACTGCTGGGACCAGGTTTAAACCTGAAAATGACAGAGCTTTTGTGAAATGGACAGATTAAATTTCTGGTGTTAGGAGAAAGGGAGAAGACTATACAAAAAATAGATTTTATGGAGTTAACAGAAAAATAAATTGCAATTGTACCTATCTGAGTTTGTTGACAGGGGAAGTTTGTACCTGCCCTGGAGGTACAATGGTTAAGTGCTTTGCTACTAACCGAAGAGTTGGCAATTTGAACCTACTCAGTGACTCTGTGGAAGAAAGACCTAACAATCTGTGCCTGTAAAGAATACACCCTAGAGGCGGGGCAAGATGGCGGACTAGGCAGAAGGATTGCACAGACCCTCTTCAACAAAGAAAAGGGAAACCAATTAACACAGACACAGAAGATAATCTT